TGGTACCATTAGGCAACACAATTGTTGCGTTCCCGGAGCCATCTATTATTTCCGCGGAACCTGCTATGGTTTTAACTTGTGCCTTGCACAAAGTCACACTCGAGAAATATATTTTATTATTGAATATTGAGTGTGTAGTTGCACTATCGAGTAGGCAATAATCATATTTGTCCATATTTTTCATGTACGTGTATCAAAATTAGCTCGACCTCGGGTATTTATCCTCCAAGGGAGATATGTACATGTGGGTTTATTCAAAACAACTCAATCTTGGGAATCACACCTTCCAAGAGAGATTTATATACAGTGGGTACAAAATAACCCAAAAACCCTTTAAATTTGGACTTGTGATCAATAGCCTCTAAGTTGGCTCTTGACGGGTTTTACCTCGTCTAATGACTCTACGAGCTTCAGGCTCGGAGTTGTATTCAGATATTTAGCCTTTAAATCGGCTTTGACGGATATTATCACGTTTTGACTCAACGAGCTTCAGGCTCGGAGATATTTTCAGATATTTGGCCTTTAAATCGACTTTTGATTGATATTATCACGTCTTGACTCAACGAGCTTCAGGCTCGGAGATATATTCAGATATATGGCCTTTAAATCGGCTTTTGACGGATATTATCACGTCTTGACTCAACGAGCTTCAGGCTCGGAGATATATTCTGATATTTGGCCTTTAAATCGGCTTTTGACGGATATTATCACGTCTTGACTCAACGAGCTTCAGGCTCGGAGATATTTTCAGATATTTGGCCTTTAAATCGGCTTTTGACGGATATTATCACGTCTTTACTCAACGAGCTTCAGGCTCGGAGTTAATCTCATAGTCTCTAAATCGACTTTCAACTGAGATTGTTATATCTTTTACTCGACGAGCATCATACTCGAAGTTAATATCTTGGCCTCTAAGTTGGCCCACAGACCTGTTAAACTAGCACGTGCTTATAACACTGCTTGGGATCCACAAGCTTGCAAATATAAATTTCAGCAGCAATTCAACAAATAAATAAGCAATAGATTAATATACACGAATTTATCATATCCTTTGAGAAATGATAGCGTATAAAATACCGAAGTATTCGCTAATCATTCTCGTTTGTCTTTTCGACAATAAATCGAGGATCTGGATTTTCGTAAAATAAAATAGAAAGAAATATACAAAAATAACAAATTCCTATCGAGCAAAATCTCATGCTGATAACGTGTTATAAAATAATATAGTAGAACATAATATAAATGAGAGAGATAGAGAAATTGTGAAGAAAACTTCGTATTTTGCTTTCACTACAGTAAGAGCTATTTATACAAGAATTGCTTAGAGCATTGTCATGCTAACAATAACCCAAGAGAGACACGTGTAGATGTGCAAGTGAGTCTTAGATAAATAGAAGATAAATGATGCTGAGTCCATATGGATATGTATAATCTATTTACAACATTTTTTATATTAAAATAAGAAAAAAAACCTTATAAAATTATGATTTTAAACTAGATGGTATTGAAGTAAGAAAAATCTGGTATTAATTCTAGCTACCAAAAAAATATTATCTTCACTTTTATCATTTTCAGTAATATTCCACCATATTATGTAGGGGTTGTCTAGGGTCCGAGAGGGGTTGTACTACTCGGACCCAAACGATTTAATCTGGTGCGTAGAAAATATTTAGTAAAAATTTATAGTCGTTGATTTAAAGTACGAACTAGTACGAATCTATGAATTTATAAATTAAAGTACGAACCCAGTAAAAATAGATCGTACAAAGGTCGTACTCCATCGTACTTCATGTAAAATTACTTTATTAACCTTACATTATTAAACCAGAGAATTAAAAGTAGGGTTAACTGTACTTTGCCCTTAACTTTGCTCATTTTTGCACTTTGCCCCCCAAATAAAAAAAAATTCCACGATCATACATCGACTAACTAATTTAGTCCAATTTCACAAATTAACCATTTTTTTTACCATAATTTCAATTTTGACCCCAATTTTGACTCGCCACCACCGGAGACCGCCAGAGACCCACGGTCTCCGGCGTTAACTCTTTTTTTTTTTGAAAACTTTTTTTTTGTCTGAAATTCTTTTCCGGTAGCTCAATCGCAGAATCTCCGTCTTTGATTTTTTTTTTAATTATGTTTTTTCACTAAAAAAAACTATTTTAACTAATATTCTTTAAAATTCCCACTGCGGCGCTTTCAATTCGCCTCTGACCATCAAATGAAATGTGAATAACCCGTCCTCCTCTCTTTGAAAGAAGGGGCGCTTCTGGTTCTGTCGGTGCTTGAAACAATTTTGTCTTCTCCATATTACTATATCTCTAGAGTCAATAATTTGATATGAGGAACTACTGAACTCAATCACTTGCTGCCGTTAGTCTTCAGTTTTCTGTTGAGGTCTATCCTGTAGTGGCTGTTATATTATTGTCTTCAGCAGTTATTTAACTGTCGGAGAGAGTAATTTAATGTTAATTAACCTTTTTTTTCTTAAAAATATATATTAATTAATATTACTATCTTGACTGCTAAATTACTGTCTCCACAGTTATTTAACTGTCGGAGACAGTAATTTAACTGTTAATTGACTTTTTTTTTCTTAAAAAAAATATTTTAATTAATATTACTGTCTTGGCTACAGTAATTTAGCTTTCGGATAGAATAATTTAACTGTTAATTGACTTTTTTTTTGAAATTTTGTTTTTTCTTAAAAAAATATTTTAATTAATATTACTGTCTTGGCTCAAAATTATTATCTCCAACAGTAATTTAACTGTCTGAGACAATAATATTATTGTCTTAATTAATTTTATCGTCTTGGCCTGCATTATTGTTGTCTTCGACTGTAATATTATTGTCTTCGACCGTAATATTACTGTCTCAAGCAATAATATCACTGTTTGGGACAGTAATATTAGTAACATTGCGGTTCGGGAAATAATATTCATAATATTACTGTCCGAAACAGTAATATTTTTGTCTGAAACCAGTAATATTACTGTATGAGACAGTAATTTAGT